CATCTCAACAAGGACAGCTTTATATCTTGTAGACCTCATTTTGCAACCACTGTGGAATTTTGAAATATGGGCGGAAAGCCGTCGACGCAGGCACCAAGGTAAATTGTTTTATGTGACGAGTAGATTTAGAGATACTGAAGCAATTTAATGTTCTCGTTCTTCGGATCGTTGAATATTCTATCAGTTGTTTCATTAAAAAAGCATGGTCCTGATATATAACTGCTTAGTTTTACATCTGTACTTTCATCGCTTAAGCTGTCAGTGGCGATATACTAGATTAGGACCTCTTTTCTACGAGGATGCGTAAGACACTCGTCCGACGGGAGTGCTGCTAACAAAGTTGTAATTGTGGCGCGACGTCGCTCAACCAAAAGGGAACGCCGCTTCCATCCACGCGTGGCGCAGTGGCAAATTACGATTGTCCTGACCGCTCCCCATAGAGACACGCACTCACACAACACACGCACGCACACAACGCACGCACTGGAGCTCTTGGCGGATTCTGTTTAGTGAAATGATAACAGCATGATCGCACCTGATCGATGTGTTTATTTATTTGTTTTGTTTAGGAAAATGCGAAAGCCTGTACCCTCGTCATCCGGGCAGTTGATTAGGGCGGTCGTCAACGGGCCGCAGCGCGTGCCAGGAACTATTTGCTTTTTCCAGGCTAATTTAGTCATTTTTTCCAACTTTTCACTGTTTTGGCTACTTTTTCCCAGATTAGCAGCTCCTTATCTTCACAAGGTGGAAAAAATGACTAAATTAGCCTGGAAAAGCAAATAGTTCCTGGCACGCGCTGCGGCCCGTTGACGACCGCCCTAATCAACTGCCCGGATGACGAGGTTATGATAAGAGTTGATGAGAGCTGATAAGGGGCGTTAGAAGAAGAGGGTTACAGAAGTCATAGTGCGTGTCGCAACGACGGGAACGTTGTTTTGGTAAATGGTATAGGGTGCTGGAAGATTGCAATCGTGGTAGGTGACAGGGAGTGACAACAACTGATCAGCGTTTCAGAAGAACACTCACAATATTCATTGTCAGTCTTTGCCAGGGCACATCATTGGTTGAGGATGATTTCGGTCGTTTGTGTCACCCCGTTCCCTCTCCTTTTTTAGGGGGTTGGGCCAACCCTCTCCCTGGTTCCTTCCTCATCGAGCTGTCGAAGGGGGATTGTATAAAGCACATGTGAAACGGGAAACAGCCGCGAGGAAATACGACCCTCTTTCTACCATTTTCTTAGATTTTCCCCAACTCCTACCAGCTTTCCGAAATTTCCCGAAAATTTTCTTACTTTCCTAAAAATTTTGCGGAAGGAAGGGAAGGAGAGAGGGGGGGGGGTACATGAACAGGAAAAATCACGAAAAGTCGGCGCTTCTAGTCTTTCACAAGGTCAGAAGCGGAATACGTTCGCCACCCCTCTCGGCCACGACTCCAAATACGCAACCCCCCCCCCCTGTCCGCAGAGACCCAATACCCCTGTTGGCAAGATCCGTCCAGCAACGAACTGCCGCTGGTCTTTGCCGCGGCTTCCTATTCACATGTTCTTAGGGCTTGACATGCGACTAGATCGTATTACTATTAGGTTGTTCGGAAGAAATGCGCGTTTAAGTTTCAAAAAATTTTTTTATTATAAAAACGAAACCAAACAAGATTAATTCGAAAGATAAAGTCTCCATTAGCCTAATATCAATACTTGTTGATAACGTTTATGCAAAGAATGGATTCCTCTTTCGAAGAACTCGGCCGGCTGCGACTCAAAGTAGTTGGACACCCAGAGTTGGACTTCTTCGCGGTTTGTGAACTTTCTCTCGGCCAGGGAGTGCTGCATCGACCGGAACAGATGGTAATCGGATGGTGCCAGGTCTGGGCTGTATGGCGGATGAGGCAGGACTTCCCAGCCCAATTCCTCAATTTTTTCCAAAGTGATTTTCGCGACATGTGGACGAGCGTTGTCGTGGAGGAGTTTTGTCGACGTCGTTTCGACACCTTGTCCACGTCGTTTCGACACCTTGACGACGCAGTGCTTAATCCACGTCTAAACTTTTTTCTTAAAAAAGCAAAGTAGACATAGACAAAAATATATCAAAAGATGCACAATAAAAATCTCTTTCTAATAGACAAAACTGTTTGAAAAATCTTCTATAGTAGGAGAGAAATAAATGGACAAATTCAACGCGCATTTCTTTCCGAACAACCTAATATATATAATTCGTTGTCTGTCAGTGTGTGTATATTTGTGTGTGCGTCTGTCTGTGTGTCACGAAATTCATAGCGCCGGTCCCAGTAGCAGTGAGACATTGATTTCAAGAAGTGATGTAGGGGTGTGACGGGAACACTATTGGTGGGTGACAGGAAGTGATATCAGTTGATAAGATCCGATAAGAGGCGTTAGAAGGGGAGGTCACCATATTCATAACGCGGGTGACAGCATCAGCTAGCTCTTGATTCTAAGATATGATATAGGGTATGGGCCAAGAACATCATTAGTGGGTCACAAAAACTGTAAGCTGCTGATAAGATTCGATAAGGGGCGTTAGAAAGGGTATCGTATTCACAGCGCAGGTCACAGCATCAGCGAGGCGTACGTCTCAGCAAGTGATATAGAGGGTGAGATGGGGACATGAATCGTGGGTGACTGGAAGCGATAACTACTGATAGGGGCTGATAAGGGAAGTTGCAGTCGTCGTCGCTGTTCAAGGTGGTTCACCAAATCATAGAGATTTAGTGATGAGGACATTGATGACGGGTGACAGGTAATCTTATCAATCGATAAAAAACGGATAAGATACCATCTGCGCTACATTTTTATCACTTCTTACCGCTTAATGAAGTGTGCTAGAGGCTCAGTCTGTGAACTCTTCCCTTTGACGGCAACAGATTCAAGGTCGTCTTCTACTGTCCTCATCATTACGGACTGTCGGGGCGTGTCAGCCAGTAGGAGTGCGCACACTGTTGAAGCCGTTCTCAGCCTTTTTGTTGAAACGCGTATGCGACAAAAAGTGGTAGAAAACGAGTAATACGAAGGATATAATACAGTAATGTCACTTGCCCGCTTCAACAATTGGTGCAGAACGACTTCGGTACCGCGCCAAACGCAGCCGCACTGACACGCCCCGACAGTCCGTAATGATGAGGATTGTAGATGCATGCAATGGTGTCGAGCGCCCCAGGTGGGGGGGGGGAAGGGTAGGGGGGTATACAGTGCGGCTGAAACGGAAGAACTGAGAAATTCGTCATTCGAAAAAATTTCGCAAATCTGCCTGCTATGTGATCTATTAGGAGGTGGCGGTCGCAAATGAAGCAAAATAAGGAGGGAATCCAACAACTGGGAGTGGAGACGTTTTGTCGGTGGTAAAATTCTCCCTACGGTACGAACACGGTGTTATGGACTCATCCGGACCAATTCAACCTTACCCATTTTGAGGGCAGCTTTAATGGTATGGTGCAGCCTTCTCACGCTGAAAGTCTGCTGCAAGCAGTAGGGACCAGATGTTGGTAGATAATGACTGATGTTGAGCTTTCAACCCATTTTCCTACATTTCAATAAAAAAAATAACTGCCAGCGTTTGGCACATTTAGCGCATTCTACAAGAGTGCCTGGCGAAGCCGGGCCGTGAAACAGAAGGAGGAGCACCCGGCGTCAGCCGGGTGATCCGACTGGTAGTTCATATTTAGAAACAGAGCAGTAGCACATGGAATGAACAACTTCATTCCTTTCTGATATCACTAGGGGGAGAAGGATTCGACCGACTCACATTGAAGTCTCCACATAAGTCAGATGTTTTATCAGTGTTGTTTGCTAATGAGAAGTGATAAGAGCCCATAACAAACAAATATATGGGCATTGTCCTGCTATTGCCGTTAACGTTAGAAGGTAGAGTCATTTCATTCTCATTTTAAGTTACCACCGAGTCGTTCCAGACCGCCATTCTTTTCGTGTTTCCAACGGATGGTTTTTTAGAAGTGTGGTAAGCAATAGACATTGTTAATTGATCATTAATAAAGAGAGCTGGGGAGGAGCAGGTATGTAGTATTTCAAGAAGAAATTGGGACAAAGGTTAGCCACAGATAAACGGGTCAGTACAGATATCCATTACAATGATGCGCGCAGTAGTGAATATCAGCCTTGTTGGTTTCTCATTGCATCCTGAAGGAAGCAACGCCGATTGCTTCAAATAGATATTCTCACTAGGGATTGTGTACTAAGACTGAGTTTAGTTCAGTCGAAGTTTACATCAAAATGAACTAATCTACATTTTCAGCTCTCACGAGGACGAAGCTATGGCAGAACATAAAACAATATACGAGTTTACTGTCAAAGATGCAGATGGGAAGGACGTCTCGTTGAGTAAATACAAGTGCGTTCTGTTCAGAATATCTCGTTCTTCTTACTTCGTTGTTGGTTTTCCAAGAACTACAGCTGCACATTTTGTGACTAGTTAGGTGCTATTCCAGAGGTCAGGTCGTCATCGTAGTGAACGTCGCTTCAAAATGTGGTTACACCCATGGTCACTACACAGAGTTGAAGCAACTTCAAGACAAGTACTACAATGAAGGTCTTCGGGTAGCTGCATTTCCCTGCAATCAGTTCGGCGGACAGGTGAGCCTATAATTCTCATTGTGTCCAAAGAGGTAAGATGTTGTCTGCCGTCCAGGTAAGATGTGTCTGCCGTCCAATTGCCTTGATAAACATAAGTTACTCTATATGTTAGGGGGGCTGCCCGTGGTTGACCGGTCTAGGATGGGAACCTGGGAAGGGAGTCGATGTACGAGGACGATATCAGATTCAGAGGGAAATATAATGGTGGTGGGTGGTGGTACTAAACTACTCGTTTGTATCAGTCTCTCTTGTCCCGTACAGTTGGCAGTCTGCAGAGAGACCACTTATGAGTCCAGAGAAGTAGGGGAGGCCGAGAATCAGGGGTTGGTGGGAGGGGTTGCTCCGAAGAAACTGCGGAAAAGAACCGACCAACCCCAATAACAGCAACCGTATCAAAAATATTAGGTCATCCCATTCAAACAGGTAAGGCATGTAGAGGAATGACAAGTAAGCGAAGGGGCTAGAGCTATGGGCTTCTATTGGAAAGGACTACATCAAGCTATGTATTCGTATTATCTGGTCAACGTAGCCCAAAAGAAAACTCAGGTAACTGAAACGAATCACGAACGCTCGAAATCAGCACAAGATTTCGAAATGGGCGTCATGCAAGAAAGAAACTTGATTCAGGGTTGCACCAATGCTTGCATAGAATGCTGCTCTGGGAATATGGTTTGGGAGATTTGGTGCAGAAGTCCAAAGAAGGAGGAACGAAGAAAAGTTCTGTGCTGGGCCTCGTAACGTTCATTCTGCACAAATAAGCGGGTGGATGTAGTCGTGCGTCGAATGTCTCATTACAGCGACCTAACCATGTCGAGCTTCCCGCGAACTGACATTCCTGTTGCAACTATTGTCACTGTAGTGGCAGAAGCTCGACGATAACCGTGAGAGTGTGTTTGGCTGCGGCATTTTCTTCCAGAAGCACGAGCGCAGAACCAATTTGATGCCTGCAGCAGCAATGTTCTCCGAACTGACGTCAGTCATGGCTGTGAAACTGCACTCGGACCAAATGAGAATGGTCTTGTATCGGAGCCAGAACTCTCAAGCACGTCAGTTTCAAATGAAGACAGGTCAGGAGCCATCCGAGCTCTGTCGTGACGAGTTACGCGCTCAAGCAGATAACCACAGTGGTGATAAACTTCTACTCTGTGGCTTTTTGAGTGGCTTCTCACTCCAAGAACAAAATCGTTATTGTCGGTGCATATAGATTCTTCTTTCTTTCCTCGATAAAAGGAGACAAATGGATGGCACAGCATGATTACACGAAGGCTATCATTGCTCATCACAGTTCCCAGGCTCCAAGCCATCCACTTATTGGGCAGTGATCCAACAGAAAAGAATCCTGTAACCTGCGCACTTGGGTTCAGTCCTGAGTACCTGGATTCAGTCGCCTTTTCCTCACACCTACAGCTGTGATTTGAACTGTTTCAGTCAGTAGAGGGCACTGTCCAGTGGCAATCGCTACTCTAATTTGTCGATGATTGAAACTGGCATCAACAGCATCTTACCGCACTGAGTGAAAAGCAAGGTGGTAGGTGTCCAAGCACTCCGTGGACACTGGTAGCGGGTCATCGATGAGGGCGGGATCCACTCTAACTATAATCAAACTAATACTTCTTCCAAAACCAGAACTCCTTTTTCAAAGTCTTTTCTTCTTCTTTTTTATGTCATAAGGGTATTAGGATTGTTGTCGTTGCAATGACTGCTCCCTTTTCAGGAGCCTGCTTGCGAACTTGATATTATGAAGTTTGTCAAGGATACATACAACTACGAACCTGACCTATACGCGAAGGTAAGTCATACCTTTGTAAAGCCACCTTCTGCAGACGTAATTTGCAAGCAATGTCGCAACAGGTGTGAAAGCGATCCCCTCGATTTGCTACACCCTGAATACATATAAAGGCTTACTGTCAGTAAAAATGTGAAGGCATTCACTTCTCCATAACTCTGATTATACAAGCATCAGTTTGGCTGGCGCACACTACTGCGCGCCTGGAGTGATAAAAACATGCGGAGCGATTTACTTTAGTACCAGTCGGATCGCCCGGCTGTCGCCGGGCGCTCCTCCTTCTGTGACATGGCCCGGCGAAGCCGGGCCATGCGGATTTGCCGCGTGCTAAGTTAAGGATCGTTGACCAACCACACTGTTCAAAGGAATCTTCTGCATCAGCCAAGAACTGAAAAGCAGCTTGTTCCGTCAAGGCGCAGAAGCAGCAGCAGCGCCCCCCCCCCGCATCACAGAAGGAGGAAAGCCGGCCTTAGCCAGCGATCCGACTGGTACGTTCATAACCTACACGGAAATAGTGCAGCCTGTTTGGACAGCCACTGAAGCAGCGTCTGTCTTCCTAAAGCGTCTTGCTTTGGAATGCACTACCGCATTCAGCAGTGGAACCCTTTAAATGGCCCTCACTGAAGTTGCTGATGGAAGATAATTGTGGTAAGAGTGATAAAGTCAGTTGCTGCTGTTCATAACATCTCTGTAAACAAACCACATGCATTTGGAATAGAGCTGGCTTAGCGGTCGTACACGATGTCGTTACTAATAAGCAGTGAGGAATGAGTTCTGTTGGAATCACTGAGATCGTTATACTTGAGTCATATCGATCGCATTGTTGTTGTGAGCGGTGAAGCGGATTTTCCCATGCTACCTTGTCAATTTTAGCTCCTATCACTTCCGTACCGCCTAATAACACTCCCGTCCCGTATCACTATCATATCACCCTGTATCGCCTCTCGGATCAGAGGTCCCACTGTTGCTGTAACCTGCGTTACGAATCTGATGACCCTCCCCTTCCGAGGCCGCTTACCGTATCTTATCAACTGTTATCACTTTCTGTCGCCCGCCAATAATGTTTCCCGTCCCAACACCCTATATCACCTCACGGATCTTGAGTTCCCCCACTGTTCGCTGTAACCTGCGCCAACGAATGATGACCCTCCTCTTCGAGGGCCCCCCCCCCCCCTTTTTTTTTAAAAAATCCCGATCTTATCAACTGTATCAGCTCTGCCAGTCCACCCTACGGCATATCAGTACTTGAAATCACGGTCCCGCAGCTGCTGCAACTTGCGCTACGATTTCGGTCACCCCCCCCCCCTTCTAAGGCCCCTTATCGAATCTTATCAAGTGTCATCACCTCCTGTCACCCATCAAAAGTGTTCCCGTCCTGCCATGTATATCACTCCTTGAAATCACGGTCCCACACCTGCTGCAACTTGCGCTAGATCTTGTCACCCCCCTTCTAAAGGCCTTATCGAATCTTATAAGAGTTGCTATCACCTCCTGTCACGCACCTAAAGTGTTCCCGTCCTGCCATGTATATCACTTCTTGAAATCACGGTCCTGCAGCTGCTGCAAATTGCGCTACGATTTCGGTCACCCTCCCCTTCTAAGGCCCCTTATCGAATCTTATCAAGTGTCATCACCTCCTGTCACCCATCAAGTGTTCCCGTCCTGCCATGTATATCACTCCTTGCATATCTAACGGTCCCACGCCTGCTGGCAACTTTGCGCATACGATTTCAGTCACCCTCCCCTTCTACGGCCCCTTATCGTATCTTATCAAGTGTCATCACCTCCTGTCACCCATCAAAAGTGTTCCCGTCCTGCCATGTATATCACTTCTTGGAACTGTCATCCTTATCTTTCTGGGCGACGCCTATCGCTATTGAGTTTTCGCGATCACACACGACACACAAACACACACATCACACAGACATCACAACACAGACACACATAGCGGATTATATATAGTAGGATATTCCCGTGTTGATGCCTCATCCTAATTGTATTTAAAAATCGTTGAGAATTTCAAAGTAAGGAGTATGAGAGAGGGAGAGAGAATGGGATGATGGGAACTGTCAAAAACTGCATTAGAACGAATGACGGCCTGCGCACACTATCGCATATCAGGGGGGGGGGGGGGTAAAAAAAAGACATTTTCGATCCGTAGTCACATATCAGCAAAAGCTTTCGCAGTCAGGAACAGAGGACGGTGGCGAGTACTAAGGGCGGAAGATACCCAAGATGTTCCTCTATAAGCAGGAGCTGGCGCTCGCCCATCACCTTCATGTACACCAAAATATGAAGTCATCTCCAGCCGCAACCTGACTGGAGAAGACCTTCGGAATTCATGTCACCTCCGAACAGCTGCGAAACTTCTAGTATGGAGTCACCCATAAATAGCTACCTGGAGAGCAGTACTCTCGATCTGGAAGACCTCCATCATCGAGCAGCTCCGTCACGTCGCTACGGTCTAGTGTTTTGCTGGTAATTTGTAGCAGCTCTGCTCCATTCGACCGGGCAGCCTCACGAAGAGGGCCACGGGAGGAGCGACAATGTCTAAAGTTCAGCGAGAATGAAACGCGATCAATCTAGACTCGAAAGGAAGCGCCGCCATCTAGGACATCATCTTCACCTCAGTCGCCAAGGCGCCAGTTGATGGTGGGACCGGACGTACCTGGAATGGAGAGACCGATATTTTCTTCGTGGGCCCCGGACTAAAGGTGAGCGCTGGCGGTTACATTGGGCAACTCGTGAAGAATATCCTCCTCACATGTGGTCGCCCGTACCTTCTTGGAAACTTTGTACTGCTACAGCATTGAGTGCCACCACATGAAATCGAAGGGCGTTGGAGAAACTCTTGCCTACTTGTAATGGAAGGGCGTTGAGTACCTGAAGAAGGTGGAATATCTAAGCAGGTAACCTGACCTAAACCCCCTCAATTACCTGGCTCGGGCGGAGTTCAATAGGGTGGTCTACAGTGGCGGAGAAATCAACGATCTCGCTGAACTCAGGCACCCACTCACGGTCGCGTGGCAGAATCTCTCGATGGCGCTCCTCCAGAAGGCTGTGGCGGAGTATCATGATAGTATTTGATATGCTCTTTAATATGGTGGTAGAAATGTCCGATAATAATTTGATAAAGTGTAACTTATAGCGCCTCGAAAGTCGAGGAAGAAAAAAGTTTTTTGCCCCCCCCTGTACATCAAGCGGAGCTCTTTCAGAGTTTATCCCGGCCCTCCCATTGTACCATTGACCTTGATGACCTCTAGCAGTCCTAGAGTTTTGAAACAATATGAAGCAATATGCCTTCCCTGAAATATTATTTTTCTCCATAGTACAACATCGAGGGTAACGCTCAACTTTTCTGTCTGGACATTTTTCTGATTTTCTCCGTTTCACGCACATTATATAGCCCAACCCACCCTCTCCACACCCCGCTTGACAGTGAAGGAATGACTTCACTTTCAGTCTGAACCCAATACTTTGAAGTATAGTGGTGAAGAATGAAGTAAAAGTAGCACCTTACCTATTCTGATCAACTGATATAGCCTGCCGCTCATCATCAATGTCCATATCAGTGACCCCCGGTAGTGTGAACAACGTACAACCTTGGGGAAGAATGACGGTGGCAACGCCCTTTATCAGCCCCTATTAGTTGCTATCCCTCTCTGTCACCCGTCAGTAATATTCCCGTCGCATCCCCTATATCACCTGTTGGAACCAACTTCCCACTGTTACTGTGACGGGCACTATGAATCTGGCGTCGCCTTGAGTTCTAATTCTCCTGATCGGATCTTATCAGTACCTGTCACTTTCTTCTACACATCAACAATTTTCTTGCCTCTGCCTATATCATATCCCAGAACCAACGTCGCACCGTTGCTGAGACCGGCCCTATGGATTTCGAATCTCCCTTTCTAGCGCACCTTGTCTACTCATATCACTTGTTATCACTTTCTACCCACCAGTAACTGTTCCCAGTCACACCGCTTATATCACTTATTCAGTTTGTAACTTTCCTACGTCTTTAGAAAGGAGTTTATTTAATTTCATGTCAACACATACATACACCAAAAGACAAGCTTAGCGGATTATTATATATAGTAGGATAATGAGCAGCTGATCATGACTTGCTTTAGGTGAAAGTGAACGGAGCCGATGCTGATCCGTTTTGGCAGTTCCTCAAGAAAGAGCAAGGAGGAACGATAGTTGACGCTATTAAGTGGAATTTCACGAAATTTCTCATTGATCGAAAAGGCCATGTAGTCGGAAGGTGAGCAGAGTTTGTATCAGCAGAGTTCGTCTTCAACCGCACAATTTTAATTTTAACATCTGTATTTATTTCTTTTATTTATGCAGCCACACGTCACTGGACTGTTTGCGTACTCTTTCTGACAGCCTACTCCTGAGATGTTTCTCTTTATTGTTTCGTTCACTTCTGACATCGCAGAAATCGTAATCCAACGACGCCTAGGAGCAGAGCCCTCGATTGGTTTTAGTGATTCGAGCTTCCCTGTGTGGAAGTTGGGAGGTCCACAAGCGAAGAGGTTCTGCCGTTTTTGCCATTTGATGTGCCACTACCAGGAATGAACTACTAATCTAAAAGGATAGCCTTTCCTTGTGCGAGGTGGAATGGGTCACTTACAGTAGCGTACCACTTTCTGCGCTGGAGAGTGCACGCGGACAGACCTGGAGGGTAGTCATACTCTCCAACTGCGTTCCTCTGTGCACATATTTGCCATCGCAGGCGTATTGGGGTGTGCCTCCTGTACGCCCGCGCGAAGTGCAGCACTGTCGTCGATGCCGAAACCCTGCTGGAACACGCAATCAGTCAAGTGCGTTGGGTTGTGGTAAGGCGAGGGCTGGCTGTGCGGCAACGCTGGTGAAAAATGGGGATGGCACCAGTATCGTTACCCTCCAGCCACGTTCCCGTGCTTTTTATTCAGAGAAAGTGGAGCACTACTGCAGCTGAGGACCCATTCACCCCGCACTAGGAGAAGAGATAGTCCACGGAGGTGACGTGCAGGTTGTCTTCGTACTTGCCCAGGTTTCTTGAATCAGCTGCAAACGGCACACTGTGGGCAGCGGTGTCGCTCATCTATACAGGGGGGGGCAAA